AAAATACAGCTTTGATCACAGCAATAAATTACAGTTTAACACACGCATATTCAAGTAGAAAACAGTAATTTTAGTTTGTAATATTATTTCAAAATATTACTGTTTTTACTGTATTTTTGACCAAATAAATGCAGCCGTGGTGAGCAGAAGAGGCATCTTTCAAAAACATCATTATAGACTGCTTAGTCAAATGACATTTTCATTCACGCAGGTTTTGTCGCTGATTGCCAAGAGAAGCGTTATGGATTGAAAGGAAGCTCAATCCAACTGAGCATCAGTCCCATAAATCAGTCACATTTGCAAGAACCTGTATGGCGACGATTCAACAGGCAAGAGTTGCTTGCAAACTCAAAGGGAGTTCCCGCTAAATATAGGAAACGAATGAGCTTAAACGTCTCCGACTGGTCTTTGACCATACACGACCTTCAGGAAAATGACAGCGGACAATATGAGGCCCTTTCGAACTTCGAGGAAGATATTCTGACTGCATTCACACTTACAGTGGAGAGTAAGATCTAGCCATCTATCTCATTTACTGTACATTGAATGCTTATCACATGATTTATAATTCAGTATCTTAGCTCAGATGTTGCTACTAACTCATCTGTGGTGTTTTTTTCAGATACTATCTCTCAGCCTGTAATTAAAGTGAGTCAATATAACTTGAATTCATCTGCGTGTCAGGCCACAGTAAACTGTTCGGTTGATGGCAGCTGGGCCATGTTTGAATGTGACCAAAGTCTCTGTGCAAAGACAGAAGACAATTTATCCTCCATTAAAATCACTATTGCAATGAACAACGGAGGCATCCAGTGCCACGTCAACAACCACGTGAGCAAGAATCATTCTCAGGCTCCCAAAGTTACGTGTAAGCATACATTTTATTTAATACTGGTCCTGTGTCATGTTTCACACTGTTTGTACTTTAATTCATCCTTAGTCAGGTTTGGGATTTCACACTGAATATTTGTTAAAATTAAAAGTTCTTATTTGTGTTTTTATGTGTTTTATTAGCTGTCACATCTGTGAATATGTGGTCATGAAAATCCCCTCTGGTTTCTTATGAAAGAAAAAGAGAAGGAAGAAACAGAGGGGTGTTTACATCACTGTTTGACGTTTAGAACCGTTTCCTCCAGCCGCTGAAGTGAAGCGTTCCTGTGGCTTTACTAAGTGCAAGATTATTTAATAAGGCAAACACAGAGACTGTTGACTGGTTAACTATTGGCATTAAGTTTGGCACCACAAACTGCTTCATTGTTTATATCGTTACAATGTGTAAACTATCATATGGGCCAAATTGCTAAATGTGAACAGCACTGGCAGCTCCAGAAATGTTTT